TTTGGGTTCTTAAGGTAAACCCTCCCCCTAAGTGGAGGTCCTCTGGGAGGCTGAGTCTATGTCGGATCACTGGTATTTCGGCCCGTTGGCCTTCGCCTCAGCAAAGGGGAGCCCCCGCAGGCGATCTAGGGGTTTCGGGGGGCTTAGGGATTCGTTTTTCAGGGTCTTGAAACAGGGTTTATAGGGGGTTCCGGGAGAAGATTATACAGAGATTCTTTCAAGGGCTCGGGCCTGTATGGTTAAGGAGTTTGGCCTGTGCTCAGAGACCCAGGGGACTTAGTGTCTAGGGCTGCATGATAGCCCCCAATTCGTACACTTAGTCGACTGGCTCCTTCAAGCATACCCGAAGCCGGAACTCCAAAAAAACAACCGGTAACTGTGTAGTAAGTTCGCCAGCATGGTCAATGTCGCCGGCAGGCGCAGAACTTCATGAACATTCGAAGCGTTTGGGCATGTGCTGAAATGCTTGAAATAACCCGAACTGCGCGCTGTGAGTTTGTATGAATTTCTGGAGTATCGGTGCGGCTCTCGTGGTTCACCCATGGATGCTCTGGTAGCCGGGTCGAGTCTGAGTGGACGTTATCTAGGTTGTCCCATGAATGCTCTGTGGAATGAACCCTAAACCCTCACCTCAAACCCGAAACCGCGAGTGAAGTTTGTCATGACAAGGCAGATTTCCTGCGGCCCAACGGTTGGCTCGAGGGCTAAACCCCAAGCCCTAAACTCCTATGACCCTGAACCCAAAACCCTAAACCCTGAACCCTAGAGAGCCCTGAAAGGAGCCCTTAAAGGAACCCCAAAATAGAGCCCTCAAAGGAGCCCTCACAGGAACCCTAAAACTTGAGCCTTTTTCCAACAGGTTCTGGAACCCAAAATTCTCCAGCCGACTCGCCCCGAGGTTGCTCAGCTGTCCAATCTCCTCACCAGCCCTCCGTTTGCCACGTGCCCAGATCCTTCACTTAGGCCCCAGGCTTCAGGCTTTAGGGTTTAGGGTTCAGAGTTCAGGGTTCAGGGTTTAGGGTTCATCGGTTCATCTCGCAGAGCTTTCGTGTCTTTTTGGAGCAGCCGGTCATCATGTAGGGCTTTCTGGCGCATAAGGGTACGGGGCAGTTATAGGGTTTTCGGGACCCTCAACCCCAAACCCTAAACCCTAAACGGTTTTCGGGACCCTCAACCCCAAACTACGGGCCTGAGGGCCCGTGCCTGCAAAAGCTGCGTGTCAGCACGATCGATGCCAGGGCCGACGACCCGATTACCCGAACCTTCAACTCTATACCGTAAGCCAAAGGGTCCTATGTACTGTTATGCGGGATACTTCCATAAACCATGATAGTAATTCCAAATATAGAAACTTTACATTCTACTATATAGGTACATTGGACCCTTGGGGAACCCTATACCGTAAGCTTTATAACATCTACAAGCCCGACAAAATCCGTAGGTTCTTTGCATATGGGTAGTTCTCTAAATTAGGGTCCCCTTTTTAGGTCCCCAGTATAGTACGGCACCCTTTTTAAAGGACCCTAAAAAAGGAACCCTAATTTAGAGAGCTACCCATATAAAGCACAAAGACCCATACATAAAACCGGAGGCCTCAGATCGCCTGACATCCCCAAAAAAATGCTGGAACAGAGCGGAACCCTCATCTAGGCTGCTGGCTATTGCATCTTCAATATATGTTTCAGGCCTCCGAAAGACCCTGGAGTAACTTCCCAAAACCCTGAACCCTAAACCCTGAACCCGCAACCCTAAACCCTAAACCCTAAACCCCAAGCTCTCCAAACCCAAAAAATCCCCAAACCCCAAACCCGGAACCCGAAACCCTTAACTCTAAACTCCCAAAGCCCTAAACATCCCTAAACCCTAGATTCCCCAAACACTAAAAACCCTCCTTCCTGTAGCCGGCAAGACCTACATTTTTTTAGGGGTTCCTTATTATGGTTTCTCTATATAGCTCCTTAAAAAGGTAGGCTTTTTGGGCCACGGGTGAACCCTAAGCCCGAAATCCCCAAAACCCTAAACCCAAACCCTAAACCCTAAACCCTAGACCCGAAATCCCCAAAACCCTAAACCCTAAACCCTAAACCCTAAACCCTAAACCCTAAACCCTAAACCCTAGACCCTAAACCCTAGACCCTAAACCTTAAAACCCTAAACCCGAAATCCCCAAAACACCGAGGAGGCCCTGGGTGCTGGGAGCTTGGGCGCGGCGCTTGCCGATTTAGGACCAGGCTCCCCGGCCTCTAGGGTCTACCTATAGTCTAAGGTTGAACCCATGGGCCCTTAACATGGGCCCTTAGGGGATTCTAGGGTCCCTTAAGGGTATATCTAGGGTACATAGTAGGTATATTAGGGTCCCAGGGTTAA